TTCTTGGCCAAAACAAAAACTTATTTTAACCATGATGCAGTGAAAGAAAGCAGTAAGAGGCAGGTGAATACTTCTTATAAGTACTGCATAGATTTCTGTCAAACAAGGCACCACGGACTCATTGCCTTGACTGTTCGAGGATCGATCGCGCTTATTGAACTTCCCCAAAGGCGCATGTGAGACAGGAATAACCATTACGACCATTAGTTAACATTCCTATAGCCTGGCGTGCCTCTGCAGGAATTTTCCCTTTGGGTGCCTCAACAGCTGTAATGAGCTAGTTTACCTCTAATCAGCATCACAGGCTGTTTGCCTTCCTCCTAACTTTATTTCAGTGCATACATTCAACGCTGTTCATCCTTCTGTCGGCTACTGAAGGAGGAATTTATGCTCAACAACACTCACCATCCAAAGGAACACAACGATCCCTGCCCACAACAACAGGCCGGATCCATTCAACAAATACGTGTCCTACACGTCTCACTAAAGGCCTGTTTGATGGGTAAGTCCAGGCTTATTCCTCAGTCCTGACGTCTGCTGGCAGGAGCAGCCGAGCTGACCGGTCCGTGCTGCCGCCTCCTGACATTTGGCCACGTTTGCTGGCATTAAAAGCCAACTATGACGGCGTTAGCTGCTTGTACTGGAGGCGTTTGCTTGTTTAAAGTAAGCACTTGAGGATTTAATGGTTGACAGGCAGCCAAGCTAACGGGACATTTACATATCAAAGAGGTTTGAGGCTTTGCAGATACGGGGCTATAAAAAATGCAACAGCTTTTTTTTTTTAAAAATCGTTTTTTGCGTTCTAATAAAAAAAAAAAAAAAAACTGTCCAGCAACCACAGCCAGCGTCCAGTGAGGAACGTTTCTACTGAACCTTTTACAGAGTTTACATTCTACAGTTGGTTTAAAAGGTGATTTTGATTTGAAATTTGTATTATTTTCAAGCAGCAGTGCAGGACGCCCCCTTGTTGAAACGTTTAATCTTAAGTGTGATAAACTGGGTGCATTTATGTATTATTTCACTTACTTTTTACTGTCTATTGCTTTCAATTATTCAATATTATTTTTCGACTACACTTAGCCGTTACTCTTCTCCTTTAATCTCTGCTAAAGCTTGCAAATAAAACACAGAAACGTATCCTTGTAGTGTGAGATCCTCGTGCAGTATTCCTACATGAACCTTTAAATTTACACTAGAAATGTCCCGATCGAGTTTATTTGCCTCCGATCCGATCTGGGTCATTTCCTATTTAGCATCGAGGTCAGAACAGGTCGGGGATGGTGTACGTAGGAGGCAGTTGGACGGACTAAGAAAAGATTGCGGCATAGCATCCTGGTGGCTTGGAAGCAGCTCAAGACTTTTCCAGGTATGACGAGGTTCGTGCAGAGGCGGAGCTAGCTCGCTTCAGCAGAACGGTGGGCAAAGCATGGAGCCCGGACCAAGCACGATCATCCGAAGGGCTGCCAATTCACCTGAGCAGAACTTTGGAGGCCGAAACACATCACCTCAAGTTCTTGGTCCACTCGGCGTACGACTTCCTCCCGAGTCTGGCTAATCTGTTCAGCTGAGGCCTGGCCGACTCACCTGCTCACCAACGCTGCCAGAGAAGAGGATCACTGGAGCACATCCTCTGCTGCTGTCCGAAAGCTTTGGGCGAGGGGCGGTATCGTTGGCGCCGCGACCGAGCGTCGCAAACACCATCTGGCGTCAGCTGCAGCTAGCAGCAAGAGGGCCGCCATTACTTTTGTTTCAGTAGGAGAAAAGCCTGAACCCCAGACAACTGAGGTTCCTGGACACCATCGCAGCCAAACACAATCTCTGTGAGACTGGATGGAGGAAGCCCAAAGAAAAGAAGAGGGCCAAGTATGCCAACCTGAGGCTAGAAAGGCTAGAAGGCCTGCTGTGATGTACAATGGCTCCATAAGCTCTAAAATGCGGAGAAAACCTATATTCTCTGTCAAAAAATGCATCGTAGATTAGCTGTAGTACCTGGTTGTGCCACCAGGTGGAGCCTCTTACTGTTAGCTCATACTGTAGCAACCAGAGGAGGCCATCACACTGACAACAGGCAGTAAGAATCGTAGGGGTTTCGCTAACAATGGGCACCATGACACGGTTTCTGTGACGCTTAATGACCTCCGACCAGAGCTCATGAGTTTAGGCAAACTGGATTCAATAAGGGCAGTGTTTCTACGTCACAGTGATCAGTGCAACTGAAACAGCAATATCATACATCCACTGCACCCGGTGGGTATTGATTACTAATGTAAACGCTCAAGAAATGCCTTCAGAATAACCATCACTAGAGTCCTGCCACAGTTTGTGCTCTCCCTTCACGACACCTGACTGACAGCAGGCGTAAACAACGAACCAGGCTTCGGGTGAAACCAATACCGATCAATTAAAAATGTCTGATCGGTGACACTGGACTGGGCAATCCCTAGTTTAAATAAGATGGACTTGAAAGGGCAAGAAAACCTTTATCAATAAAACATGAAACATATTTTTACTGGTAAAATATGACAGAAAATACAGCAAAAAGAAAACTTTTCACTGTTAGCTAGACATTCTCTCTGGGTTTTTTGTTGAATCCCCAAAAATGGACAAATAGGTTTGAAATGCAAATTTTATAAAAGCCGTTCTGATTCATGGGTTTTGTGTCCGACTACAAACATCTGTAAAACATCACATCTTGACAGCTGGGAGGCAAATCTTTTCAGGTGTACCACAAACATCCATTAACTTTCTCGAACGTTCTGTTTGTTTGTTGATCGGCCTCGTTGGCACGATCGGCACATAGCAGTCTGTGGACGTGGCCTGTGTGAAAACAAACACTGAAACTCAGGGAAACAGCTGTTTGTGTTAAAACCTTATTGTTCAGGAATTCAGCTGCTTTCCTAATAGAGTGTTTCTGGTCCTCAGGTCTGTTCCTGGAAGACCCACTCGGATATATTTAGACGCAGCTCAACACTCACTTCTGTTATTCTTTCGTCACATCAGCAGCTGGACGATAATATTGGTCCTCTGGGCTTCAGACTGTAAAGGATGTGTTTGTTTAACACCGGCTGTCCTCTGAGTAAACCCCGCTGCTTACAGCTAGTGTGGAAATTAGATAAAAACCACCTACTCACCATTTACCTCACGGCGACTCCCAGCAGATTACAGTTTCACTCTGTAAGCCTGCTGCATGTAATGTGCTACCTGCTGACCTCTGAAGGCCACAGAGTCGTGGCTTCGCTAGTGGAGGAGCAGCGCCAGCGGGAGCAGCGCCAGGTCCCAATGTTCTGTGTTTTCATTAGCAGGGTTAGCAGCAGCTAAGTCCCTGTGTGTAAGAGGCTGGAGGCAGGATTTAAAGGGCTGCACAGACTGCCTGGGAATGTGTGTTGTGTGTTTTGGCTCGTATCTCGGCCCGCTGCGATAATCACCTGAGAATAGAGAACATCTCTTTATGAGAGGTTGGGGTCAGATTGGCAGACGATTGGCCACAAGGCTTTACAGAGAGAGAGAGAGAGAGAGGAAGCAGAGGGAGGTAAATAACAAGCAAAGAATGCAAACAGAGATAAATGAATGCTGCGTAGTGCAAACAGCCTCTGTTCACGTGTGATGCAACCATCACCAATACTTGAGCCTCAGGAAATGAAAACTGATTCACAGCAATTAAAGCACAACACGGCGTCTGGAACAGGACCAAGGACGTGCATCATGATTACAAACATCACGACTGACCTGCGGTGCATCAAACTCATGTCTAGTTTCAGTCGGGTCCGTGCAGACTTTCTGCATCACGAGACCCGACATGGAATCCATCAATCGGCCTGAACGTGACGTCAGACAGGACGTGGCTCCAGTTCAACCTCAAACCATTCACAAGATCCAAGTCCTCTGTGGCGTTCTACACTGCTGTTGTCCATCAAAACAAAGGTTATAAAAAAAGGTCTGGAGCTCATGAGGTTGTCACTGACAAACTGTTCAACTCCTCCACTTTCTGCAGGAAGCGACAGTAAAACACTGGACGCATTATTATCAATATCACTGGACCATTACTGCTCATTAGATTGTGCATCAAGTGTGACATTTCATTTCATATTTAAGTTTCAGGTGCAACACAAACTTTCATGACATTTTTTCCATAATCATGTACCTTTATTATTTACTCGCCTATTTCAGTAGTTTCAGGATTGTATCATACTTATATCTGATTGCTTTTTCATTTTTAGGCATCTTATTATTATAGTTTAAACTTATCCTACATTGTTTAAAGTACTCCTGATACTTGCAGTAATCTGAGTATTAGCATCCTGCGCTGTTGTGGTGTGACTCAGCCTGACTGTGGGGATCCTGGTGGGAGTTTGAGTTCAGTCATCACTCGGTTTATATTAGAACGACGGCAGAAACAACGACGCTCAGGTTTGACTCAGTGTGCAGCTCTCAGGCTTTTATAAACACAGTATCTCAGACTGTTAGTGGTGAGTTCTGTCGAAGCCGCCGGACGTCAGCGAGGCCACGCCGCTCCGGTGGACAGACGGGACTTTGTTTGCGATGAAAACATTTACAGCATCGACCACATCCACAGTTTATCACAGGAGACCAACTGTGGCCGCAGACGTGTTGAACCACTTCTGTGTGTCTCATGAACTCACCTCGCTCTTTCTTTTCCTTTGAGAAGGAGTCAAACTTCCTGCGCAGAGATTTTCTCCGTTTGCGTATTTCTGTAAGACAAAAAAACAACAAAAAGCCACAGTGAACACATGGTGGAGGCCGTGGACCGTCTAGTCTGTCATTCATCATCGCTGAGGTGCACCAACATTCATCTGTGCATAAAACAAATTACACTTGGCCTTCAATCAGCTCCAAATTAACTTAATGAGCTCATCCGTGGATTTCCAAACCGCCAGTTCAGACGGTCCTCAGTACGACCCTCTTCCCTTTCCTCCCTCTTTAACTCTTGTGCACGTCTTCCTCACGTCTAACAATAGAGCAGCACATTTCAACAGACAAAACCTTGTCTGTTTGTTTGACTTGCCCGTGTTGAGTAAAGACTGCACAGCCGTCGACATGAAAAACAAACACCGATGGATGTACTGTGAGGAAATGCAGAGAAAAAGTCTAATGTGTTGTGAAAAAGTACATTTAGGAGCATCATGCACAAAAAAAATTATCACAAATCCTCTGATCCGCATCAGAGTTACACCATTTATCAGAGCGAGAAACTGCAAAAACAGGGAAAAACAAAGTCTGAATTTCAACTTTCAAACTGCCCTTGAAATAAAAGTGTGTGATGGAGATCTGTTGGGAAAATTAACCAAATATGAGCTTAAATCTGGATGTTTAAAGTCACTTTATTCTACATGTCGTTCTTGCTTGCACCAGTTTTTGTTAAAGATAAAAACAGAAAAAGATCACGTGAATGTTTTTGGTTGAACTGCAGGCTGTGCAGAGAAGTACGGAAATAAAAAAATAAACCTACTGGATCAATAAAAAATAAATGCAGCATGGCTCAGAAACAGTGAGCAGAGGAGCCAGTTGTTGAAGACACATCCAGCTGATGGTGGAACATCTTTCTACATGATGGTGGAACATCTTTCTACATCTGATGGTGGAACATCTTTCTACAGCTGATGGTGGAACATCTTTCTACATCTGATGGTGGAACATCTTTCTACAGCTGATGGTGGGACATCTTTCTACATCT